GGTCCGGATTCTTGCACCACAAAGCATCAGCCTCTCCTTGCTGACCGCTGAATGTTAAACCTTATATATATATCGTCCCCCTGAGTTGTTAGAATATGGAACTGCCCAATCTCATAATAGGATGCCCATAAACCCCATATTCTATTTGATGAAGGGGGGTTATGACTTCGTGGAGGAGAGGCAAGAGAAGTCGTAAGCTCCATGCATCGAGTCTGGAAAGTTGTTTTTGGCAACCCCGATTACCCTGTGGGGCCATTTTCACACAGTTTTTTCCAGGATCAATCACGGGTCTCAATCGAGTACAAGGGACAAAGCAGGAGAAAGAATAAGGGGAGAAGAAGAAGACGCAAAAGACGAATAAACAATAATAGCACGAATAACAGTAATAGTAGTAATAGTGATAAAAGGTAGAAGCGAGCTCCGAAACACCACGGGCCATAGCTAACCTTGGCAGCCATCATGTAGGGTAAGAGTGTTGTGGGAGTGATGTGATGCGAAACGTCTTTTGATCAGGTATCACTACATCGGCAGTTCCCAAAATTGGGGTCGTATTTTGGTATCCCTAAATATTAGGTGCCGTAAAGCAATCTATAACCAAAAGGGGCCCATAGTTTTGGGAACTGCCCACATTCTTCCTGCTTCCCAAATCAGATTTCCCCCCAGTTTGCTGTCCTTGTGCCGAAGACCCATATCTTGGAAGATTTTTTGGGAGCTAAGATTCCACAAGCTACTTGCAAAGGAATCTACATGGACCACGTGTTCTTCTCAAAACACAGCCATTTTTGATTGGAATCTTTCTGGAGACTTGACATACTGAGCGCCCAGCTTGTATCTGTTACATATTTTCTGTCCAGGTGAACAATTCTCACCAATGCGACAGAACCCTGGCTCCCAAGCCCGCACGAATCCTAAACGCTGGAAATCAAATCGAAGTCCTCAGCAAGTTGCAGTGCACTTGAGGCTGCACAGATGGACGGCCGCTGACAGAGGGGGAGCTCGAGGAACTTGTGCTTCCAGGGGTCTGGATGTCGGGTGCGGGGTTTGCGTTTACGCCGGATGGGTAGGGAAGGATGTTAAGGGTTCAAGGTCCCAGGCCTTCAGGATTTAAGGCTTGCATCAGGGTCAGGAGATCTGGGGTTTTGGGGTCAGCTGGCTTAGGGCTTTAATTCCTACAGTTGAAGCTTTCGGCGCTTGACTCATTGGAGGTTTACAGGGTTTGGCTTCCAGGCCCCGGCACCTGATGCAAACCCTAACCTCTTCACTCTAAAGCCGACAAACACGCGCCCGAAGCCCTAAGCCTTAAAGCCAGACTTACATGGAAATGTAAATCCCAAACTCAACAAGAACCCTCAAACTCAAAATGCTCACTCCCAACACCTCAAGCCCAGGAGCTAAACGTCCGGCCCCCCAAAATTCAAGCCGTGAAGCTGCAAAACCCACAGCTTAAAACCTGCAAAGCTCTTAACTGTAAACTCCTAACACGCCTGTGAAACAAAACCTCTCAGAACCCTTGTGCATGGAGAGGATCCTGAGGATCTCGCTGCTCAACTCCTTGAGGCTTCGACTTTCCTGTCGGTTATCGGGGCTTCTAGGATAAGGTTCTCATTTGAAGACAGAGGATTGAGGGAGGGCAAGTTTCCCAATTCCGCAAAATTCCACTAGTGGGTTTGTATAGCGCTCCTAGGTATTAGAGATTGCTGTTTCAGGGGGCCCGTGAGTGCTGCAAGAAATACGAGCTTTGATTTGATGAGTTTTCAATTGCTTTGCTTGCCAAGGCCCTGGCGTATGGAGTTCGGTCTTTTGGATGAGGGTTTGGGGTTTAAGGCGACGGGAACGGATGGGGCAGCTCTACTGCAAGTTTGCGTGATTCATGGCTTCCCCCTGAAATTGGTTCATTCTCTGCTAATGAAAATGCTCTTGCCAATTAAACTCCTGTTGGCGTCCATTCCCGAGTTTCGTTTTTGATGAAGGACCATCGGGATTCTAGAAGTCGGTTCCTCAAAGCGACATCATTGCCTCATAATATGTATTGAGGTCCTGATCTAGCGGTGCTTAGCAGCTTCATTCTTATGAAGTCTATGCATGCACTCGCAAAAGACCAGGCTCGAATACTTACAATATTGCTTCTGGGTTGTTTGTGTATGCCTTTTGCGATTATCCCAAAAGATGGTTAGTTGGGTTTTGGCTCCGCGAGTACTTCTTCAAATACGGCGTCTCCCTGTTTGATTCTGGTGGGCTTTGTAACAGTCATCCACAGCGGGTCGGTTACACACATTCTTCCGGGTGTCTATACCAGGGGGACACGTTATTCTGTGGGCATATACTATGGGGAGCCAAGTTTTGACTGATGGGTGTTTTGGGTTTCAGGCTTGGGCTTCCATGTTGAAGTTCTTGGGTCAGGAGAAGGTGTCTGTCCTTCGGGAAGCATTCATGTGCGAGCGCATCGATCTGACATTCAAGCTAAGTACTCAGATTCGCTCTGAACCTACAACTTACAAACCCGATCATCCGCTTGTTCCGTGCAAGGCCATGGATGTAGACCAGGACGGCCAAGTCAGCTATGCGGAGCCTCTCGGGCGGTGGATTCAGAAGCAACGGCATCTAGCCGCACCTAAACAGAAAGCTTTGGCATGGGTGCGTTTGGAACGGACGGTATTTCTCACACAAATTGTGCCATTTTCAGGTCCCACTTTTGCCTGTAGGCGTCTTTACATTTCTGCTGCAGGGAGGCCCATCGAGAACGACTTTCATGGCCCAACAGGCATCCTAAACAGTTCATGCTGAGTAGTTTAGATTGGCACTTTTTAGGGCTGAGGGTCCTCAGGTCTGGACTTGCTGGGGGCGTGAATTCCAACGGTTTCAGGTAGGGTTGGAGGGTATGGGGAGACTTTTTTTGGGCCCTAGCTGAGATTGGAATGCCAACCTCGTAGCATCTTGAGAACACCATGCTGTTCCTTTGATGGGCCACGATAATTGGAGGATACCATCAAGGAAACCATTTCTCAAGCACAAAGCTTGGGCCTCAGGTTCACGGTAAACATTTAAAAGCTGCTCGGGTCTATGCACAGGTTGTGGGGATGATCAGGAGTATTCCCATGAAGTTTTACATTGATGGGTTGTTACGCTTGCATAGATGTTCGAGCATGTGAACGCTTTGATGGCCTCGACCTAAGTCTTCAACCTTGGGCCCTAGCCGCCTGAACTCTGCACCTGGAAAATTGCCTTGCATCCTCATAAACATCGTCTAAAAAATGATGCACACCAAAGGTTCGTGGCCTTCTGCGTCGGTCGGCGCAAGCGTGAGGTGGGGATTGCATGGGCGCTGCCATCCTGAGGTCTGAAGGTAGTTGCAGGGGGAACGAGAGTTTCATGCGTTGTCTTTGTAGTTGGTGTTGAATGGAGATTATACACCTTCCTGCAGCTGCAATGGACCTCAAAACTTGGACAGTTGCAACGTGCTGTCTTCTCTACAAGTACTGCTCGACGTGTTCCTTTTCTGATGGTGACGGTTGTCCAATGAAATCATGTGCCCTGCAAGTACGCGAGTATAACCTGTAGACCTTGAAGAGTGCTACGGAAGCCGCCACACCTCCCGAAATGCAGTCCTGCGGATCCTCGTGAAGGTTAGGAAGCAAGGAACCCTCCACCCCAATACCGGCCCCAGTCTCGCAGCCACAGGACCCTGCACCACCAGAGCTCGCAAGTTCTGGAACTCATGAAGGTGTTTGGATTCTTTTGACGTACCTCGCAGGCTGCGAAAAATAAAGCAGGAGATGCTGTTTATCACGTTTTGAACTTGAGGGCCTGCCCCTAGAATCCCGCTTTCCATGTATTCCAGTAACTGGGCAACAGGCATAGCAGCAAAGACTATGCCCGTTGCCTCAGCACAGAGCTGCCCAGGAGATTACGACAATGCAGGCTCTCTATGCCAAGTGGCACACCTCAAACAGAAATGATTTGTGGCACCAATCACGTGTGCCAGCAACTTTAGGCGATGCGAGGAGAGCGGGTGTATCCTGCGGCCGCACGAAATTTACAAAGGTGACTGAAAGCTATCAGCGTCGCGGCAGAATCCCGATCTGGCACGTAGACCGGAACCCTTAACCTTTTGATCTCAGAGCCCGCAACTTCTCCGAAGAAGCTGGGCTGTGCAGGTAAAATTGCACCTCTACGATTTGTCCCGCGGCGCCGGGGGTCAGGCGATTTGGCGCGAGCAGTGTTTTCGGTTTTTTCAGCATAGTTCCCAATTTGGAACTAGCCACCCCAAGGATACCCGCCCAACACTAATGGCCGTGCTGAGTCTTGCGAAGCCCTTGAGCCTAGTTTGTCCTTGCCGAGGCATGTTGGTCCCTACAAGTAAGGTTTACACGGATGAGTACAACCTTGCTGCTTTGTGTATTACCAAGTATTTGCTAATTTTGAGACGTTGGCGTAGTATAGCCATTGGGAAAGTAACCAGTGCAGCAGTAGCAGTGCTACGGATGTAGAACTTGCTGTGGATCTATAGCTCTGGTAGCCACTGGCAAAGGCGTACATCCTTGGTTTGGAGATCGCCATGTGCATCTTGCAGTTGCTTCCCTTCCCAACTTTGCTTCCTGTCATTTTTTTAGCGAACGGCGTAAGAACCGTACAATAGCTCTGCTCCCAGCAAACTTAAAAATGTAATTGCCAGTTCCAATGGGAGCTGACACCATAGTCAGTAAACGCACTTTAAAAGGAACGCCATGATGAAATGTTGAGCTGCAAACGTGGGTCATTCATGAAGCATCATCGGTTTTTTGGGCCTAGGGCTTCAGCAAATGGATCTTGTAAGGGCGTAGGTTCTTTGATTGAGGCCTTATTTGAGCATGGTTTTCCAGAAGCTCTGAGCCGTACAGGCCTTCAACCGCCAACTATCAGCCCTAATCCTCAACCCTCTGGTGCTAAACGGTTAAACTCCAATTTCCATCCCTGAATCCTTGGCTCCATGAGCCGTGGACAGATGCGCTGGTTGCTTGGAGATGGCTTGGACCAGATCTGGCACACAGGCCGTGCAGGGATCTTCTCGTGGGTAGTCAGAAGTGGGGTCAGAAGGGTTATTTAGGAATTGTTTGGGGGGATGGAGGGGGTCCCCCAGATAAGCCTAGGTAATGAGCATGGTCAGCTTATTGCCCATTTATGTCGACCCATGAGCCCCCCAAGCCTCAGGCCAAGCTTTCAATTTCTTTGTTCTCATTAGCTAGAAGTATTTAAGTGGGGAGAGGTTGACGTGCTCACGGTCGTGCGCAGTCTATTTAGGTTTGCAAAAAATGGTGGAAGCAGAAAGAATACGATGAAGAATTAGATGCGGTTGGCATGAAACTGGAAGAGCCTAATCCCTAACCCCGAGCCCCTTCCCCTAACCTTTCAACCCTAAACTTATTTTGTGTGTCGGATTCCAGTGATGTGAGGTGGGGCTGTTGCATTGAAAGCTGGAGGTCTGTTTGTCCACGTGCTCCTTCCACTAGCAGTCCCCTTACCTTCCGCTACAGCCTTTACGCCCTGAACCGTCGCTTGTTTCATTCCTGAGCCCGGCGGCAGGAATCGTCGCTTTCGACAGGGAATACTTCTTCTCCAATGACACAATCTTCGACTTGCCAGGCGACGGACTCAGCCAGATTCGAAGTCATGGTCCAGGATTGATGCTTGTGTGGTGACGGCTCAGCGTGTTGGGCTTGGGTTTTTGGCAGGGTTTGTGGGCAGAGCGTTTACGGCTATGGCGTAGCGTGGAGGCCTCAGCGATAGTTTCTTCCTCTGGATTAAAAAAAGTTTACGACTTGTTCGAGGTTTGGTCTCCGTGTACTTGCCAGCTTCGGGGTGTACGGTTGTGCAGAGGGCGCAAGGTTTTAGGGTTCAAGGTGTAGGCAAAGGGAGGTTGGAGCGTTGAGGAGTTCCTGCTGTCAACTTGTAACGTACAGGCCAAGCCCGCAGCAACGTCAAATAATGATTTGGCTCTTTAAGGCCCTGAACCAAGCAACCAAAAACGCAAAAAGCCGTCATCCTGAACCCCCAGGCCCAGAACTCAAGCCTCCGAGCCTTTGTGCTATGCGCTAGCCTGAAACCTCATGGTCATAAATATTCTAAAGTACCAGGATAGCGATGTTCAGAAGGTCACAAAGGGCAGACCCCAACTCTGAGTCAGCCCAGACGTGATATGATCTTGAAGGAACTGGAATAGTCTTATGGTCATACTTCAACTCTGATACTTCAAGCTCTTAAGTCGAGAGGGGCAAATCCATTGCCGCAACAAGGCAAAACAAGCTTTGGCGATCCTACTCAGGTTCCCTGATTGGGGTCCATGTGCTTTCTGGGCCTTTTGTGCATGTAGCGTCTGGGCTTCTGTGGGTTTCCGGGGTTGCTTTTGGTGGCTTGGGTCTTTTATCAGGTCAGACTTTGGGGAGGGCTCCTGTAGAGCTTTTCTCTGGGAGACAATTTTTGGGCCCGATGGGAGCCAATCGTGGTAATTGATATATTATTGCTATTAATTCTATTTCCATTTTAGTTTTATTACTATTACTGTGGTTATTACTATTATTGTGTGGCATTGCAGGTACCATCGAAAGGTCTTTGTGTCCTTTGAAGCCTCACCTCATGATGGAAGTATTCGCAGAGTTTTGTCGGCACGCCATGATTGTTTGTTACTTTGCATGGCCATTGCGCGATTTCTTCGACACCCAATCTTCTCATTACCCCCCCCAGCCCCAATTAGTGCAGCAGTCTTCAGCCACCGAAGCTGAAATCCCAGGAGTAGATTCTTCTTCTATTCTTCTCAAAGATGAGGGTTACTAGTTGTCATTGTTACCGTTGCGTTTTATCACTGCTCTTATTCTGATGCCTGCAATTCTAAGCCGCCAGGTTAGGTCCTTGGGCTACACCTTCTGGAGCCAAGACGAGCTCCACGACTTCATTGTCAATGATCTCAAACCGATCCTTGCATCGCAATGCTTGGGGTTGTAGTCAGAGAGACAAGCCTAGCATTGAGGCCTTGAGGGCATTTGAGTTCGGCAGGCTGAACCATTCGCGTGTTTCAGCTTCAGAGGATGCCGGGGAAATACTGCTCGCTGTTCTTAGTCTTTTTCTCACTCTGCATGATTTCGGGACCTGATGCAGGCTAAACCTAGTCTACAAGTGTATAAACATTTTCAGGACATCCAGGCAAGTCACTGATCCAAGGATTTTCCACAGAGACACCTACGACGTGGTCTGCAACAACTGTCGCTCAGCTGGCTTTTGTGGTATCAGAGCATCCCTATCGCCTCACGATGAGCCTCCCAAACCTGAATCCCCAATCCCCAGTGCCAAGCGCTCATCTTCCAAAAGCCCTCTTGGACCCAATGCTCGCAAGGCAACCACTTCAGTGATCGAGTCGCCATGCCCAGCACTTGGACCATCGCAGATGGCAAAATCGAAGCTGGGGGTTTATGGGGTATGACAAGCCCCATAGAAGCTTCAGAGTTATGGAGACGAGCGATCTGAATGCTGACGCAGAACAAGGCTCTGAGTGAGGTACCGCCAAATTTACACGTTCAAGGTTGACATGAGGGTCAAACTGGATGTGGAGAGGACCTTTGCAGTCTAGTAATCCTAGAATTCGCAAAATCCTTGACTAAAGGTTCGACAAGCTCAAGTTGATGAAGTACGCCATGCAGCGACTGCGTCTAGAAACTGGCAAAAAGAGTTCGAGGAGAAGACGAATCCCGCGCGAATTAGCAACGGCAAATGCTACATTTAACTCCAAAGCAAGGATCCCTTCTAGCATGTTACGCCCGAAATCTCAACACAGCTGCCAAATGCCTAAACTTGCCAGATAAGATGAGCGTATTACTTTCTCAGGTTTCCAAAGCCGTCATGGCTGCATGTTATCCTTGCCAGTCTTGCTCATGCAATTTTGGCCATAAATATGATTTCATTCGTATGAGTCCTAGCAGTCCTCTGTCTGGCATTATTGTCACTTTGACATCATCATCGCTGTCTGTCCACAATCTGAGTTTCAGTCTTGCATTCTTGCCAGCATGCCCTGTTTTCTCTCAGGTTCCTTACCGGACGACCACTTCCCGAGGCATCGCGCAGCAACTGCTCGCCCAGCTCTTTTGTTTCCTTAGACCCTTCAGTGCTTTGATCTGTCATACTGGAGAGGTATGTAGGACTTTGCAGTTCCTGGCTTGTGCACTGGAACATCGCTATCTTGTCCTTATTTGAGTTACTGAGAAGCAAGATTGTTGAAGGGGTTCATGTAGGATCTCAATAATGAAGAATCAACTGGAAAAGAACATGGAACATGATATGGATGTTGGGATTATATACATCTATACGCTACCCTATAGCTCCCCAGTTTCCATTTCATTTTCCACCTTCTTTGCCATCTGATTCACGATTGTATCCCTGTACCTCCGAGACTGGCGTGAGTGACCAAAAGCCATCCTCAGCATCAGCTTGTTTTGGGATGTTCGTTAGGTCATTCCCCAATACAGTAACAGTTGCCATGAAACCCTCAATCCCGAACGTGGTTAACGGAAGCCACAAGAAATGGGAGGGCTGTTCTGGAACGTCTCTAGCCGCTCCCCAACCCCTTTGGCCGGTATTCGTATCGATGTGCGAGATAGAAGGGGTTATGTGGGAGACTGACTCACTTCACAGCCCCAAAAAAAAACAGTTTCAGATGGTATGCCACGGAGTCTCCGATACTTCAGCTTTATTGACAGACTGATCTCCCGGTGCGCTGAAGGCTGACTTACCCAAAAACTCCGGCAGCGTAAACTCACGCACAAACCGGTGTAGGTTGATATTCTTTATTCGTGGTTGGTTGAGTATGGTGTGCATAGGTCTTGTGAGGGGATGTGATACCAAGATCTTTCCAGGACGTTCGCAATCAGGCGGACCGCCTCATGGACTTGGTTGGGGCCTCAACGCAGAGCTAGTAGCTCATGGTTGCCTGCTGCACTTCCTAAGCATTGTGTGGATTGGTGCGATTCGTCCAAGTTGTGGTATGATATCTGGTTTTTCCTTGCCTTTGCACTCAAGACGCGACGATGGCCTACCTGTTTCGGGTTTGCTTTCTTTCGCGACAAATGAAATTGCTAATTTGATTTTACAATCCAGGCTTTCCAGATGGGCCTTACATCAGCTTCGACGGCTCGGGATTTATGATTGCTGGGTACGGCTTTTGAGCGTCCTGGAGAAAACCTGAAGGATCAGGATTTCAGAAGATTTCGCTTAGAGCGTTGTGGGGATTCCGAGGTTGAACCAACTTGTGCGGTTCACAGCGGTGAGTTCAGAGGTTAGGTTTTAGCTCAGTAGTGGAGGACCAATGCGTGGTCATGCAACCAGCTTTTCTCAGACTTTCAGCATCATGTGGTGTTTCCCAAGTTCACGCCTCCGAACACAGTTTCAAAGTCTTGAGAGCCCCAACTTTGAGGAGGCAGACTCGACCAGATGATTTCCTCACCCAGTCCTTTGCATTGGTGCTATTCCGCCCCTGCGTGGCCTCAACAATGCACGGTCCTGCCCTACCTGGGAGGCCTTGCAGAGGAGGAGGAAGGAAAAGCTGACAGCGCTCCGAATTTGGACCCGGTACCCACCTAGGCCTCCCTGCGGTGATCATCCAGTAAAATCGGAACGGTACAGAGAAAGTTGGTGTGGCCTCTCTTAGTTACTCTCATTCCCTGTTCGTTTCTTCCACCGAAGGTCTGCAAGCACCCTGTCTCCTTCACGTCTTTCACCTTGCCGGCCCGAAGTCCGCAGAAATGTGAAAATGGTTCTTCAACATGAGCCCCACGACCCAAGCCGGCACCCTGAGCCATATGCACAACCCCGACAACTATTATAGGGAAATCCCCCACCCAAAAAACCAAGCTGCATTTGATTTTCCGTATTCTATATAACCCCTATAAAATCCCTAAAGAATACCAGTAGTTTACGTTCTCTGTTCCATCGGAGCCTTTCCAGGTCACGGTGCGGGCGGTGCGGCCTTTCTTGAACTGGAGCAGCCCTCGGACAGGATGCGAACAGCACATTTCAAGGGTACCTTGTCACCCGCACAATAACTGTCCTTACATGGTGTCATGGAGGGGCTATTGTGAATCCTATTACTCATCATGTAATTTCTACCTTAAAGTGGAATCACTTAAGCTATCCCCCAACAATCCCCAAAGGGGGGCGTTCTCGTGGTTTTCAGCCTTTCCTTGCAACCACTGTCTGTATCCACTTTCACCTGACTCGGGTGAGGTGCCCTGCACGGTAGTGGGTGGCATGTAGGGTTCAGGGTTCAGGACTTCTAGATGAGGATGAGAATGCGGACTCCGAACGAGAAGCATTCAGAATCTCATGACGATTGTACATGGTGGTTTTTGTCCGGGGATAGTAGGGTTCAGGTGCTGCATTCTGATTAGGGGTCTGAAGAGCATCCAACAGAGTTTCTACAAAGAAATTCTTTTTTTTGATGAGGATTACTGTGGTTCTGCTTCAGCTCTCATCTCCGATAAGTCAGAGCCCCATCAGTCATTAGTCCTTGAAGACATTGGTGGGAGCTATGCGGAGTTTAGAGCCCTGAGCCATGCGTGCATTGCTCTGGGATGGTGTGCCCTCGGCTGAAGGTGTAAGCTGATTTTGAAGAAAGCAAGCTCACCCAGTGCCATAGGACAGTAGTGCAAGGGATCTGCAGCAGCTAAAAATGGCCTGGTGCACGCTCGAGACAGAGCCCTGGTCTCAGCTATATCCTTGAACAAATAGCGGGCGCTGGAAAGAAATCCGTAAACGATCAACAGGCAAGTGCACAAGTAAAAGGATTGAAGTTGACATTCACGAAGCTTTTGGAGCGCGACTAAGGAGCAACCGTCAGGTTTGTTTGTATTCCCGAGTTCTAGGGACACAGATGACATCATAAAATTCCAGACCCCTTGCTTTTAAGATTGAGATCCAGCCCTCTGAGGTTACTGAGAGACTGTGTCGTCAGCCGTGATGGCACTGCCAGGCTGGCGGGGTCTGGAAGTAAGGGTGTCTTTGCCTACTTGGTTGAAGCCTAGGCATAGCCCGTCATTGCGCATTGCGTTACTGCGTTATTGCAGTTTTAAGGTACCCGTTTGGAACAAGGTTCCTTCAACGCTTAGAATTCGGCCTTGTTCGTTCCAGTGTGCATGAGGTTTGCTGCATCATGTCCGCCTCTATGCATCTCCACATCATCAGTCTGCGTCAGACTTGGAAGCCTTCACAGTAAGTTCTTGAGCCGGAGAACAGCACCAAGGAGTACTCCATTGGAATCACTCTACGCATCACATGTCCCAAAATGTCACGCATCCCTACACTTCTCGCGAGGGGCTTAAGTTCCCTCAAGCCATCCCTTTAAGTCGCTGAAGATCTCAAGTGGCCGACCGTGTCGCATTCCACAGGCCTGTGGAGGTTCCTCACGGGCGTTGGCATCGAATCACCACCGTCGAAGAGGCCCTGTGTGGGTACTGCAGTCTTTGCAGACCTCTCTCAGGATGCATAGCATAATGCAAGAGAGCAGTGTGATCGTTCATTTGCTAAGTGCCAGGGCAGGTTTCATCTGAATCTTAAGGACTTCCTTGCGTGTCCATGCACTGTCGGCCATGCTTCCGGACCTGATGAAAATTACCAGAAGGATGGGGGTCGTGAACGGGATGATCGTGAACCTGCTTGCTGCCCATGATAAGAAGTCTATGGCATGTCTGGTGTCACTGTCCGTGTCATGTCCGGATGCTGATGCCGGATACGTTCATGACTGCTCCTCTTCAACAGTGTTTGCAATGTATGCGCCTTAGTACAAGTCAGGTTGATGGTCTTGATTGCAATGATCTGCTGCACGGAGTCCTCTCATTTTGTTCAAATAGGTTTGCTCCTGCCACTGCTAGTAAACGATGCCCGCCATCAATGTCACGACGAGAGTAATTAGGAGAAGCGATGCTTTGGAGCCCTGAACTTTTACTGCACCAACGTAATGGTTTTGAATTCTCGGTATAGGTTGGTATAGGGTACCTCAAATAGATCTCAAACCGATGTTGGGAATTATTGAGGAAGAAGAGCATTTCAGTAGTTGTTATACGTAGCTGGCAGTCGTTCAGAAGCGGATGTAGTAGCAGCAAGTCTCAGTAATGGCCCTTGTGATCGTCGTTGCCATTGTCATGAGCTTATAACAAGACTGCAGCCAGATATACTTACCTTCTCATTCAAAAGAGAGGCCTAGTGGAGTCAAGTCCCTACGAAGAAGGATCCTCATGCGGAAGCTTTAGAGCGCCGTAGTTGAAAGCCCCGATGATGGGGACGGTGAGGGGAAGTTTTAGTTCAAACCCCCAAGCAGAAGCAGAAAACACACGAAGCCATGTACAGCTCCTGAATCCAGAGGTCTGTTGTTTTTCTAATCACGCAACCCTAAACGTATGCCCGTCAACCTTCAAAAAACACCTTAAACCTGTGTGCAGGTCATCCCTGGAACGGTAGTTGCGGTGCATCCGGAGTGGGGCCGAAGCACCGCAGTGTCACTCGCCGAGCAGTTGGAAAGTTGAACGAATTCAGGGGTCGGGGAGTGAAAAATAAGAGGCATGAGGGATCGGGTTTTGGGCTGAGACCTTTGAGTTGCTAGGCTTGGCAGGATCTGTCCTAAGACTGCATCTGAACATGTTAGGGTGGCCTTCGCATGCTCGTGCAGGAAAGTCACTAGCGTCTGCGGCTAAAAACACTACTCGTATTGTATGGAGGCTGGTGCTGATGGATTTGGCCTTGATGGTTGCAATTCAGTGGTTAGTGCCAAAGTCACTCGGAAACAAGTAGGACAAACATAGCGGTTCAGGCCTAGGCAGCTTGAGCAAGCATTTATGTCGAAGTTGGGAAAGTGACAAGTGATTAAGAATTCCATTCAAAAGAGCCTGGGCAGCATTTTGAAAGCCGCAGAGTTCAAAAGTCTCTCGAGTGAGGAGTATCTCTTTCATGAGGTCTGGAAGGTGTGCAGCCACGAGATGGAAATTGCCTTGGAGATTTATGGGCTTTGGCTTGGGAAGGTTTTTGAGATTACACAGGGCTGGCAATGTGATTGGTGACACTGGGGCATGAGGCATTCCGTGGGGCTTGCGGACATTTTTCGCCGGCTGATGTGGCGTCTGGCCATGAGTGTTCACATTCTACAGCCGCAGTGTATCAGGGACCTCAACCCAGCAAGCCACAAATTCTGGCGCTTCATCCTGCATGTCCGAAACCCAAGTTTTGAGCCCATCCACCCTGAAAGCCAAAGACCTAAATCCCTTAACCTAAAACAGTATGCCCTCAGACTTCAGCTTTTTTTGTGTAAGCTGCGTGCTGAGGCTTGGAATTGTGTGCGATAGTCGGGAGGGCGAGGCTCTCCTTCGACTATTGCTACTTTTACTATCTTTACTATCATTACTATTACAATTTTTACTATTATGATTATGGTTCCTATTAATGCTATGACAGTTCTTGCGGCGATGACTACTATTACTGCGCTTACTACCATATTGGAAAGTATGCAGGGTTCTGCGTTGACCAAAGCAGTTTTGGAGTGTGGTTCCTGGGATCAGAATGAAGGAAGGTGTAACCAAGTCTTGGAGGTTGGGCCTGGACTTCCAAATTTGCTTTCCGAGTTTAGCTACGTGTTTTAGGGTTTAGGGTACAGGTTTTGGGATTTACAGCTTCTTGATGCCTTTGGGCTTCCTAATCGCAATCGGGTTTGAGTTTTCTGCAGGCAGCTGATCCCTTGTCACTGTGCCTTTGACGGGCGTGGCATGCGTCACCCTTCCTGATACCATACATACGCCCCCCAAACAGACTCTGAACTAGTTCCTCAAAGCCCACGTTTGTACTCTTTAAAGCCTATTTCAAGGTTTAATCCCTAGTCGCATGCCTGCATACTCCTATACAATATGTACTCCCTGTTCGCCCATATAGAGTTTCTTCGTACCCCGTACACACCCTTTTCATTTAAAGACCGGAGATGCTGTTAAGCCGGAAGGTGTTTGGACCTTCTCATCGGCCGGGGCTTCCCGTTCTGAGTACCTTGGCCAAATGACTCGACAAAGGGGGGTTGGGTCTGGGCTTCATAGGGTGTAGGGCCTAGGGGGTGTACGGGGTCAACCCTAAACCCAAAATATTTCGAATTTGTAGGGACTGGAGTCTAGGCTTGAAGAGTTGTTTCAGCATTGCAAAGTTCTTACCTGGGGCCACCCGGACGATTCTCTTGTTCAGGGGGTATGTGTGGCCCAACCTTAAAGCATGCCAAAAAGCGTGTGAAAAGTCAAGTTTGAATCACCCATGATGAGCTGAACTATGTCGGAACTGGTCTTACACAGAACTAGAAGCAATAACTGTGATGCTTTTGGCAACAGCATTGGTGGCATGAAAGGCCAAGTGTTTAGGCTGGCAATCTCTTTGTCTGTCTATCTCTACTGAGAAAGAAATGCAACTTGATGATGCCAATCCTTGACTAGATTGTGCTGGTGGTAACAGGAACCTTGTAGGGTCAGCGCCGTTGAAGGGTTTGGGGTCAGCCTTCACGGGTTTTGCGGCCTTAACGTTTCAATACGGATTGCCAGGGTTCGGAATGCCCGGGTTTGGTGTGGGTAACCGGGATGAAAGATGTTTCGCAGAATCAGGTTGAGGGACTAAGCGCAAGTGGATCTGTGCTGAGGGATCGTTGCTACAGCACCTTCAGGCTTTGAGATCTGACTTGCTGGTTGTAAGTAGGGGATGGCCGAGGGCCCCAAATACTTGTACTTCCTGGCTGGTTCAGGTTGTATCTGAATTAGCATTCTGTGGCTGGAGGGCTCGCAAAGTAAAGAGTCCATGGACCTAGCTGGAGGCAGTATCCAAAGCCTTCCGTGAATCTGTAAGCCGCTATTCATCTCCAGCTCTAGATTCTTCCAAACCAGCCCCCACCCGCCCACCACATCTGGAAAGCAGGCTGGTGGCCCACTCCTCCTTGTGCGTAAGGGAGCTCGTTACTAAGCCAGAGGAAATTTGCCCTCGTTGCTTTACCCCGCTTGAATAAAATGGCCTAAATCCTCCAGCTTCTCTTTGGCAAGGTTTGGAAGCTTTGAGGTAGTAAGGCGGTGTGGTAAGGATCGAACACTCCGGTGGCTAGCATGAGAGGGTTAGCTTGAAGACGTGAAAATGTCAATCACTGCTCATTTCTGTGGCGTGGATGAGCTCTGGTATCAAACTTCGCTACAGTCTGCAACAGGAGTGGCTCACACACCCAACACCAACTCTCCCAAGTTTGTTCTTTTGTCAACTCCAAGTTTCTGAGCGCTGCACGTCAGATCATAGATCCCAAGCCCAAAATTTGGCACTTTCAGCCCGCCATCCTTGTCTTGGCTTCCCGATCCCTGCAGACTGCGGCTCGTATAGCTGCATGCCGTCCGGGTGCCCAGCAGGTTTGCCGTTCAGGACTTAAGAGTTGAAAGGCACTCTTCGTGACATCATACTTAGACAAGTGTAAGGGCGCCTCTCATTTCTGGTACCCAAATCCTAAGCCCTTTTGGAACACCGGCTGCAGGCAGCAGGCTAGGGCTGCAGAATCACCGTCCGACAATACTTCAGGGAGTATCTGCTCCAAAGGCCTCAGGTGGAGGGTCCATGGCCTGGTTTGGAGCAATGCGCATGTCCAAAGGGACCTGAGTAGTCATATTCTAGCTACCATCAACAGCACTATGAGTACAAGTTTGCAGCGATTCTGATGAAGCATCGTCCAGGTTCAGGAGTTGGGATGAATTTCTCTATAAAGCGAAACTACTAGCCAAGACATGGTTGAACATTGAAACACTCCGCTGGGATTGTATGTAAGGCAGTCCCAAGCAAGACACTGCATCAGACAAGCAATTGAAGCAATTGCTTGCTAACATCCTTCCTTCGTAGCATGGTAGGCTTGCCAAGGAGGGGCACTGGTGTAGAGCGATATGAGGGGGGGGGGGGCTGGTGGAATGGGATATCCGAGACGAGCCGGGGAGGAGGGGCACTGGTGGCAGTCTGCGGAGGTTGTTTTTAGGTTACAATCTTACAAGGCGAGTGACATGGACACCAGCTTGAAACCGTGAATCCGCAGCATTCTCATGATTAGTGGACATGCTTGATGAAGTTTGTCTGGGCCTCCAAGCACGGCACGTCTCCATCCTTTATCTTCGGCCCTCCTTGACCCTGGCTGCCCCCTTAAGTCGTCAAGGAGGAGACTAAGACTTCGAAATCTGCATTAGGCCCTAAGCTCTTTGACCCTGACCCACCAAGCCCGAGCTTCAACTCCAGAGGGCAGGATCCTATGATTTCTGGAATATGTGCAGGGATGTTCATATTGATACAAACGCCCATGCAGTGGGTCATTCTTGGCTGTAGTCTTAAAGGGTTATTCGGCCAGAAGTCAAGAAGTCACTCAACATGTAGTTTGTAACTTTAGCCCAAAGTGAAAGCAGCCCACTGGCAAGGCAGAATGGTTGCTGTCAGTCGCACACACGTTTCGTCAGTGCCGCCAATGGCGACCTTGAGGCGGTTTCTGTAATTGGTTGGAACTACTGACTACTGTGAATGTTTCAACTGCCAATGGAATATCAAGGGCAGTCGCAAGGTTTGTTTCATGAACTTTGTGTAGTTCCCAGTGCATTTCCACCCCATGTCCTGCTTTCGCATTTGGAGGTTTGATTAGGTCCATACGTTATGGATAGAGTGTTGAAATTCCTCGCAAGAAAGTTCACAGTCTGCTTACGAAAGAACACGTATTCTCCACTATGATCCGAGATGGGATGCCGTTGAAACATGTCATTCTGCTAAGACGCCCCTGCGTTGATTAAAATGGTGTTTCCTTGTAAGTACATGCCTGGAAATCGGCTTCCTATCAACACTCCCAAACAAACCAGCACTTTGCAAAACTCCTTTTTCCTCTGACGCCCAAAAACCTCTATATTCCGTTCACAATTTTTTTCGCCTTTCTGTCTGAGGGAGTTGGAGTATGGCTCAGGGGACCACCCTGGGGTGTCGGGGTTCGAAACAGAGCCTTGACATGATAAAATTAAGGACTTTTTCTAGTTGTGGGTACATGGGAGGCAGGGGGAGGCAGGGGCACATTGATATTGAACAAAACCTACCTGCTAGAATGAAAAGCTGCCGCGGGTGTGCTTCAGTTGCAGGAGTCAACCTCGGGGGGGTGCTCTTGTCATAATGTTCTTAAATTAAATTCAAAACATAGTTTAAATTTTAGATTTTAAGCCTTGTGTTGGCTTTTGAAATTGAAAGCGCGAAGGGCGAGTGCTGGCGTGGTGGTCCTCGAGAGAGCAGGTGTTAGGTCTAGACGGTTTCTTGGAACCCTTGATTGCCGGTGGCCGTATCATGCTCGCAGCACTTCATGTAAGGTGGCCTGCAAGGTTCCACTCTTTAGGTTCCTCGTCGGAGCCAGCCGGGCACGAAAGAAAGCCCAAAACATCACCTTCGTGGAGAGTAGCCCGGGGGCCATAGCATGGAACTGCCCAAGCCTAATTGAGTTCCTGCCGTTCATTCCCCTCACAACCTCAGTCCGTCCAGAAACCCCCCACCAAACTCTGATACATGTGATCCTTCATGCTCTCCATAAATCCTAGCCCTCATTCGCTTCCAACCTTTCCGGCCCGTCCTTGGCAGGTTTGGGTGAAGTACTTGGATGCGCGGTTCCCGTCCGCTTGCAGCCACAGGGTTCAGCGTAGAGGAGTGCGGCTTGGAGTTTAGTTATAGAACTTAGAGTTTAGGACCCAGTCTCGACGCCTGGTGCTTGCAGGCAGAAAAGTTGGGTGACATGGTAGTTGCATTGGTTCAAGGTTTGCAGTCCCCAGGTTTAGTGCTCGGGCGTCGGAGGGAGGTTTCAGTCACAGCTTGATTGTTGCAAATGCGGGTTCACGGGGATTTGCAGCAAATGGGCCTTTGCCCAGCAGCAGCTCTTGGACATCTGGGGAATTCCCAAGGATGGGGCTTGCAATACAGATCCCAAGATATCAAAATCGCTATCATGGAGACTCCCCAAACCACTGTAATTTCTGCAAACCCCCATCTAGATCTGCGGGCCTGCTGTGGTTGATCATTTCCAAGAATTTTCTCGATAGCTTGTGCCAGGCTTACTTGTATCTGTTATTGTTGAACGGGCTGAAGAGATATTGTGTGTAGGGTATCTTTGACTCAGTTCGAGTTGGCTTGTTTGATGGTTGCGCCTGATGAGTAGGGAAAGGATAGGATGATATTGCTCCACCTGGAATTATGTCAGTTAGTCAAGAAGAGCTTCCTGAGATCCCAGCCGTTCATCCGCCTGCCTTCTCCCCACACAAAGGCCCGACTGACATTAGATTCCAATTGCCTGATCTGTGGATTGTTATGAGTCTGAGGGAATCTCACATCCCTGGAATGTTCTTAAGCTGTGCCCTTTTTTTGATTCAGGAGAGCTTGTGGTTGTGGTGGTGGTGGTGGTGGTGGTGCCAGCGCGGGCTGGTGCTGCTGGTGGTGCTGGTTTGCAAGGATTAGGGGACACTTGAGTTAGGAAGCCTTTACCCTCAAGCTTGCTGCCTGCTCAGGTGATCTTGCGAGAAAATCGGGAAGGCTACTGCCCGAGTCTCAGCAAATCAGGAGCATGGGTGAGGGAATGAAGGAAATATACATTAAGGACTGCACATGTTCTTTGAGATGCTGACACAGCACACATGGTACAAACTGTCAGCCCAACAGCGTAAAACCCCGAGGCAAAATCCCAATTCAAAGCAATCTTGATTAATATTCCTCAGCCTGAAGCTGAAAAGACACACATCTCAGCTTCGCGCAGTCCTGACCCTAAAGGTGCTTGCAAACTGCGGACGCAGAAGGTTCCCGTCGCAAGGCTCTGATGCCCTGCTTCCTTTCTACAGGGTGTCGCCCTGGGGGCTTCTATGTCCCAGAGTTCAAGGAGCTAATGACAAGCGTGTACAGCCAACCATGAAGATCAGTTTCTGGAATTAACCACCAGGCCCACAGCATTTGGTCCTCCAAATTTAGGAACTTCCAGTGGAGTTGTAGAGGTTTGAGGTAAAGAAGTGACTGCGTGATCACATATTCGTCGTGTGAGGCTTCTCTGCTGTCTGCTGGCGTTTTGATAGCATGTCGTTCTAAGCGCTGAAGCCTCTCGCACCCAATGGTGGTACGAGTCCTGGCGGGGCTCACAGCACCGTCTGTCAAACTGCATAACAAGGAACCAGCTGCTAGAGTGATCATGTGATAATGCTACAAGTTGCGCGGGTCGTGTGTCGATGTCTATCTGCGGCCTGTGAGTGAGCGTGCGTAAAAAGGATTGAGGCCTGACCCTTACCAAGTGTTGGTATTTCTGCAGTGCTAACCTCAAGGCTTCAACTCCATGAAGTCCTGGACCTTGACCCAGGTCCCAAACTTTGACCAAACTATTCAATGTTCAAGGCAGACCGTAACTTGTAAAAAACGCAAGGTTGCAGAAGCAGCATGGCCCAAATCCGTTTCAGATACTGTCAGAACTTTTTCCGGCCCCCAAGGCCCCACATGAACGTACAATGTCAACCCTAAACCCGAAACTTCACACTAAAAATTAAGATCTAAACCCGAAACCCGAAACCTGCTGAAGAGCAGGCTGTCCCTGGTGACCCTTGACGGCTCGACCTTTGGAGCTCGTTACCGTGAGGCCGAGCCCACTGCAGTGAGGTTCAGGTGGAGTTCATTGGGTTTTAGATCCGAGGATTCCTAGGTGGGTTCAAAGTATCAGGTTTTTGGATGATTCAGCAGTTGACGGTTGAGGGGGATATTTGGGAGGTGTGGCGGCTAGAATTGAACTGTTTAGGGTTCTTGGATTGTGGCGGCAATCTCCTGATGCTGCTACAGCCAAGCCATATGTCAGATTCCTTGACAGCATGGGGACTAAGGGTGTGATCCTACAGGTAAGATGGCTTGATGCAGTTTGAAGACTATGATGCTTCATTTGGAAGTTCTGGGACCACCGTAGCGCTTCAGGGCTCGAAGGCTTTCTGGGCCTATTCTTTGGCGTTGACGGGCTCTCGGAGTTTAGCAAGATTGGCCTAATAAAATCCCTACAGAGCCCCTCTATAACCCCAGTATAATCCCAAGGCTGAGGCTCTGGGCCAGGGGGTCCTCCTTACCTCCGTTTCTGTTGCCACAACACCGGTGGCCCACGCTCTGGGGTTACGTTTGATTTCATGGTGCGGCTGGGCTCAGGGTTGGGGCCCCTATGCGGTCCCCATAGACGCCTTGGATGGTGGTGCCACAATTTGTCCCAAACCTGAGCCCCTTAACTCTGACTCTTAATCCCTGAGTCCAACAGCTTGATTCCTGAGCCTTCCAAGGCCTTGGACGTGCTCACGCAGGCTCCTGTTGCACTCAGGGCTCCATCCGGAAGCCTTTGTAAATTGAGACTGACGTTTCATATCAGCACGAGGGAATGAGATGGGACAAGCCTTTCCTTTCTCCAACTGCAACGTTACTTTGGACTTTAGGGGGCTCCTTTTTTACTGATACTTCTCCAGCGCACAGTCCCTTAGTTTTTCCGAAGGCATGGGATCCTCAAAAAAGCACCTCTCCTGAAGGATCAACAGTTTCAAGAACCCTGCATACAGGTGACAGACAGAGATCAGCTTCCTTTTGAATTTTTTTGGTTGCGGGGTCACGCGTGGCTGCAGAAGTATTATCAACACGTCTTACCAAGGAAGTAGCTCTTCGGGCTTGTACATGCGAGTGTTTGTTGGGGTGCTCCAGGAGTTCAGGGGGTTGGAGCTTGGGGTCTGTGGTTTGGGTTGCGCTCAGTTACTTTTTGAGGGTTTGCACTTCAGGATTCTGCCTCTTTGGGTTCCATTGAGAGCCATGTCTTGGCAATTCAGGGGCTGTGACTTCAACTCACAATTCACATGTCCTGTAAGTTTTTTGCAAATCACATAGAGCCATCACCCCGCAGCTGAAAGCCCACTGCGATTACGATTTTTCGAGGGTGTAGAATGCATCCTGTAAATTGGGGTCTGCGCAAGCTCGCGCACGGGCGACATACGATCCCGCGCAAGGGCCTGTAATGTAGCTTGAACTTCGGATCTTTGAGTAAATGGTGAGCATGCAAGCAAGCTTGTGTGCACTTGGGCAAAGCATAGGCACCAGGAAGGAGATGCAACAATGGGCTCTTGCCTCTTAAAACAGGGGAAGGCGAGCTTCATAACCTTCCCAGTCTATACACGAACTGCGGTCACTTTAAGAGATCAAGTCCTACAAGAGGGCTGAACAAGGAAGACGGCTGAATCCTCAAGCCTAAGCTGCTGAACCCTACACTTTTAACTCTTGAAATTTAACGCCCTAACTCGTTGCCAGCAACTCGTGACCAAGCCGGGTCTCCGATCCGTGTGGGGCATGAGCGAGAAGAGTGCAGGGAAGCCCGGAGGTAGGGATGCTGCTATCGTTTCATTGGATGCCTTGGTCTCGCGTTTGGGCCATTTGCGGTGGGCTTTTTGGTAGAAGCCTTCGGGAGTTGGGGTGTCGTGGGAAGGTTAGGTTTCTGGAGGTCGAGAGGATTGAAAGGAGCCACGTTGGCAGGAGAGGACATTGAGATAGGTGTCTGAAGCCTATGTCGTGGCTTGTCTGCAGCTCCACCTGGAGGTTTCGGCATATCATATCCGTTGAAGATGAGCTTATATTTCGTTGCAGTTACGACTGGAGGGACGAGGGGCAGAGTCCGCTTGGCACATGGGGAGATATTGGAAGTGACTGAGATGTTTCTGGGGCTATACCCCCGCGGGGTGACCAGGGTGTTGGGACGTGAAGTGAGGTGGTAACTGTCGTGGGGCATTATATTTGCTGGATGAGGCTTCGAATATGCCCCCGAAGTAACTACATGGCTCGCGCCCTGACCACAGATGTGGTAAGGACAGTCATGTGGGAAGCCTCATTTGAGATTTTTGGGGCTCTTGTATGACAGAGTTGGCCGTCTTCTATAGTATTAGGAGAAGGGGATAGGGCAGCATGCCAGCACAAAGTTGAAGGATTTGGTGTGTAGGTTCTGGAGGATTCAAAGTGATCGGTTTCGTGATGCAATTCACTAGTCAAGAGCAGTCCTTCTTCACAAGCAATTCCAGACGTGAGGTGAATCCTACCAAAGCCTACGCCGTGGAACCCGACTTACAGGTGCAGGAGGCAATTCAGTGAGAGTCTGGTAACAGACAAGAAGTTATGGTAGCTATATCTTTGCCCTGTAGCTACTTGAGCTACTAAGTTTACTCCTAGGGCCCCTAAACTGTCATCTACAAAACTCCAAACCCTAAACCCTCAACCCTAAACCCTAAACCTCAATGGTAGTGTCCATTTTTCCATTATCCCAATATACCCCGATATAACTCAATATTACCCCAATCTGTCCCATTTTAACCCTAATATTACCCCAATGAGTACCCCTCACAGGCTAGGGGGGTTTGGGCAAGGATTGGCTGTAAAACTGCCAAGGCCATGGCCGAGAGTCTGGCAGATGGTGCCATGCCAAGCTGCACGCGTTGGGGTGTAGGCTTTCAGGTTTGGGGTTTAGGGTGAAGGGGTGACTTGGGGGTTTAGGGTTTAGGGATGAATTGGGGGTGAAGGTTTAGGGTGTAGTGATGGGTTTTAGGGCTCCGGAGGTTAAGGTTTATGGGTGTTTATGGACGCGAAATTACTGTTTTTTTCGGCGGATTTTCGCATTCCGGTGTGGGTATCAGGGTGTCGGATTTAGGTGGGTGCAGGGATTAGTGTTGTGTACGTGGCGCTTGGGCTGCTAGTGATATTTGCGTTTGGGGTTTAGTTCATGTTGTCGCGTATCCGTGACTTGCTTTGTGCCGTGAATACGACAGACAGTAATTCTGTTCAAGCCGCTTAAGCTTTGACTGGCACATGAGAGCCTATGTGGGAGGTGAGGGAAGTTCTAAGTTGTTTGTCTCCAACCAGGCGTCCCCCATGTCACTGTGGTTGGGTCAATCTACATCCACAGCCTAAAAAACTGGACAGCAGACTTAACACCAAACCCCCCCACCCCCCCCCCCCAGTTTTTTCATTTGCGTGCGCAGAGCAGCACGAAGACCGAAGCCCTGAGGGTCAGGCA